ATTTTACTAAAGAAATATGTTTAAAGTCTTGGTAATCTGGTGAAATAGTTATTGGTGGTGGTTGTAAACTTCCGCTGGAGTCTTAGGCCGTCTCCAAAAGGCTCCCTTTCTGATTAAAGCTCTATTTTCACTGCATGATGCTGCCACTACCCTGCTTTAGAGTGAGGATAGTGTGTTAAGGACAACGCTTGATGATAATTCATTTTACACACGAAAACGTTGGTAGAAAAACCCACAATGGTCACAGAAATAACTTGCTGTAATATGCTAAAATTCTATGAAAATAAAGAAATGAAAGTCAGAAAATGCTTTTCAACCAGGCTGACAGGATGATTTAAAAAATCAACTAATAAAGGCCTGGACATTTTGCTGCAAAACCTTTTGAAAAAATCACAGAAATCAAACGATTCCTGTATCTGTCTCATGGTTTTGGGTCTATTTACATTTTCTCTTTGAGTTTTCATTGGTTTTATTTCCATTTTATGTGTTATTCTAGTTATTTTGCCCTCTTGTGTCATTATCCTTCTTCCAGCTCCCATCCAGATTCTTCAGTCCACACCTGTTAGTCATCTGCCAATTGGTCCCTCCCATTGTTTCTGTCTCCCATATATACTTCTTCCGTTCACCCACTCTTTACTGGTTCCCCATCATCGTGTGGCTCCTTGTGTGTTTTCCCTGATGGCTTGTGAATTTGAGTTTTTCTGTATTTTGGATTTTTATTTCTAGATTCTTAAACTTGAAGGAAACCTCCTCAGAGTCCTTCTCTGTATTTGGGTCCTTAAAACCTTCACTCAACTTGACAATCTGCTGATGAGACTTCTGCTCGTCTTAGCTGGTATTTTGGCCCATTCCTCATGAACAAACTGCTCCAGTTGTTTTCAACACTGAACTCCTCCTTGGTCGTCTCCCATTTAGTTCACTTTGGGTCAAACTTTGACTGATTGTGATCGCTGATGTTCATTCAGCTTGAAGTTCACCTTTAACCTCATTTTTCTGGGCTCTTTTGTCATTATTATTCATGTCTTTGGTTTATCATCAATTTTCCTCTGCAGGCACAAACAGAGCGGTTGGCTACATTCCTTACATTTCTAGATATCGAACATTGACCTGTTTTGAAATGGTTTTTAAAGCCTGTAACTTTAAATTGCTTGTGTATAATTTTATTCCTTTTTTTTATTTGATTGATTTTCACAACTTTATGTAAACTTAAACAAAAATTAACAAAAACAGCCCACCCCAAAACAACAAGGAGCATTGCAGTGTCCACATATATATATGTATATAAATAAATAAAAAAACCTACATAGAGCCTACACACACAAAATACAAACAGACAATCCCAGTTATGGTTCACCATAGTTAAAGCCGTTGGACAGCCACATGAATAATATACTGAATGTAGAAAAGAGAAGGGAAATGATTAAAAAACAAACAACAACAACAACAA